CTTCTGTCTGCTTCTGCCTTCTGGCTGTGGTTTGTTCCATCTTTATCTACCTCTCTTTTTCAAACTTACAGGAATTTTCAAACACAGAAGTAGAGAGAATATTCTAATGTACCATTTTGCCAATCTTTCTTCATCTGTTCTCCCCCCAACTTTTTCTTTTTTGATGTATTATTCTCTCTCTCTCTCTCTCTCTCTCTCTCTGTTTTTTTAGAGACAGTGTCTCACTCTGTTGCCCAGGCTAAAGTACAGTGGCATGATTATAGCTCATTGCAGTCTTGACCTCCTGGGCTCAAGCCATCTTCCTGCCTCAGCCTCCCAAGTAGCTGGGACTAGAGGGGACAGACAGGCCACCATACCTGGCTAATTTTATTTTTTATGGAGACAGGGTCACACTATGTTGCCCAGGTTGGTCTTGAACTCCTAGCCTCAAGCAGTCCTCCCACCTCAGCCTCCCAAAGTGCTGGGATTACAGGTGTGAGCCACCATGCCTGGCCTGCTGTATTGTTTTAAAGCAAATCCTAGACATCATGTCATTTCCATTCTAAATACTTAAGACTGCATCTCTTAATTCATGAGATGTTCATTTTTTAATATAACCACTGGACCATTTGCACAACTAACAAAATTAACAATGATCTCTTCTTAATACCAGCCCACACTGAGTTCATAATCAGATTTCCTCATTTGTCTCTAAACTATCTCTATTCTTGTCCCTTTCTTGTCTCTCTCTCTGACTCTGTCCCCTTCTTCGCCTGGCTTCTTTCATTCCCTGTCTCTGCTGTGTCCCCACATATGTTTTCTGTGTCTCTCTCAGATCTGTGGGCTCCAGGCTTACTCTTCTCTCTTCCCACGTCCTTTTCCAGCATAGGGAGTGAGTGAGTGGGGAGAAGTGTGGCTGTGAGCAAGAGGAGACCCCTGTTCTTGGGGAGATCCCAGACCAGTGGGGCAGGAGAGTAGGGCAGGGGCCCACCTCAGTGGGAGGGCTGGAGGGCAGGTGTGACTTGCCTGGAGCACCTGTCTGGTGGCCCCTGGAGGAGGCAAGGCCTTTGTGCCCTCCTATTTCTCCTGCATTCTCTTCCTAGGAGGACACACGACGGCAGCGGCAGCGGCTGCAGAAGCACCTGGCTGAGCATCTGCGCCAGAGCTGGGGCCCACTCGGGGCCCCCACACAAGCTCGAGATCTGGGAGAGCTGCTGCAGGCCTGGGGTGCTGGGGCCAGGAATGGTGCTCCCAAGGGCTCCCGCTTCACACATTCAGAGAAGTTCACCTTCCATCTGGTGGGTGGGCCTGAGTGGACATGGGTGTGCTGACGGGCATGGCAGGCTCAGAGGGTGGCTTTATGTACAAATGCCATACTGTTATCCACACAGGTTCCCATGGGCCCACCAAGTGGGCCCTTTCCCCACTGTGAGGGGGTATCCAGAGGGGTCCCCTAGCTTCCTGGGGACTTCAATGGAGAAAATGTGGATAGGTGGGAGCCATGTAAGAGTGTAGGGGTACTCTTGGTGCAAACCCCACCTTTCTGCAGGCACTTTTCTCTGGGCATATCTTCTCTCCTTGGATGCTAACCCCGAGAGGCCCCCATCCTTCTCATGCCATTTGGGGCTTGAGAGATGGGGCAGGTGGGTAGGAGCTGTGTCAGGTTCAGGGAGGTTTCTCCATGAGCAAACGCTGTAGTCTGAGGTCACAGATACTGCCTTTATCCTCATGTAGTCACAGTGTGACAGCTGTCAGCGGCTGAGTGGGTGTGGTAACAGCACTGAGTGGGGTTCTTTGGGGGGGTTGAGGCTGGATCATGAGGGTCAGGGCCTTCCCTGACAGCCAGGGTGCCTCTCCTCACTCCCCTAGGAGCCTCAGGCCCAGGCAGCCCAGGTGTCAGACGTGCCGGCTGCCTCTCGGAGGCCTGAGCAGGTAAATAGAACAGTGGGGTTGTCCTGGCTCCTTGCCTATCTGCTGGGCCTGATACCCCCACCCCGACTGGCCTGTGCCTCCCAGGACACGTGGGCAGCTCAAGAACAGGAGCTAGAGTCCCTTCGGGAGCAGCTGGAGGGAGTGAACCGAAACATTGAAGAGGTTGAAGCCGACATGAAGATGCTAGGTGTCAGCTTCTTGCAGGTAAGTGAGGGGCCGTGGGTGGGATCAGGTCAGAAGCAGGGCCCAGAGGGGTTCAAGTGACTCGAGGGGGCTGAGAGGTGCCCTGTAGAGATCTCAGATGTCAGAAGGGTTTGTGGGGGACATTGGGGACCACATTGGGGTTCTTGAGGGTTCAAGAGAATCAGTGGGGTTGAGGGAATGTGGGCTTTGTGGGCCTGTAGGAGTTAGAGGGACCTGTGGGCATCAGTGAGGCCTTATAGGTGGCTGTGAGAATCAGGAGGGCTGTGAGGGGCTGGAGGCATCCATGGAGTGAGGTGGGTCTGTATGGGCAGGGGCTGTAGGGCTCCTCGGGGCCCTTGGGCTTCTGCGTGGGGCTGGAGGGCTCAGAGAAGCCTTAGAGGCTAGAGGGGCATATAGCCATCTGTGGGGCTCGGGCTGGCTGGGCCCAGGCTTTCTGGGCTCAGTGGGGGTGCTGGGGGCCATGTTGTGCCAGGTGGAGACTGAGTATCGGCAGAGTGAGCTCAGCACGGCAGAGCGAGAGCAGGCCCTGCGCCTGAAGAGCCGTGCGGTGGAGCTGCTGCCTGACGGGGCTGCCAACCTCGGCAAACTGCAGGTGGGGCTGGGTGGGGTAGGGCGGGGCAGGGTGGGGCTGGAGGGGCCCAGCCTGTGTGACGTGTATCCCTCTGCTCTGGTCAGCTCCTGGTGGAAAGTAGTGCCCAGCGGGTCATCCATTTGGCGGGTCAGTGGGAAAAGCACCGGGTCCCACTCCTTGCTGAGTACCGTCACCTCCGAAAGCTCCAGGATTGCAGAGAGGTAGGTGGTGGGGTCCTGGGCTGGAGGTGGGGCAGGGACAGGTTTAATCCCTCTCTAGGGGGCCATCCGTGTGCTCTGCTCACTGCCTTCTGCCTGTGGGCTCCCGGCAGCTGGAATCTTCTCGACGGCTGGCAGAGATCCAGGAGCTGCACCAGAGTGTCCGGGCAGCTGCTGAAGAGGCCCGCAGGAAGGAGGAGATCTATAAGCAGCTGGTAGGGCCCATGTGGGGAACCTGGGCAGTGCCAGTGGGTGGGGGGCAGGTCCTGGGGGAGTGCCTGCTATGTCCCTGCCTAGGTGTCAGAGCTAGAGACTCTGCCAAGAGACGTGTCCCGGCTGGCCTATACCCAGCGCATCCTGGAAATCGTGGGCAATATCCGGAAACAGAAGGAAGAGATCACTAAGGTGTGCCGCTGTGGTCATGGGGGGTGGCTCATATGGGCAGACGTGCATAGTGTGGCCACATGGGGACCTCATACCCTCTGATGGGCAGAGCTGTCCAGCCAGACCCTGACACAGAACAGTTACACACAGTCCACCCCAGCCACCCGACACAGTGCTGTAGGCCCTGTCTGGATGTGAGTGCATGCACATGAGCACCCTCAGCTGCCTAGCTTCCCGGTCCCAGACATGGGCTCATGGCCATCCTGCTGTCTGCCAGATCTTATCTGACACGAAGGAGCTTCAGAAGGAAATCAACTCCCTCTCTGGGAAGCTGGACCGGACGTTTGCGGTGACTGATGAGCTCGTGTTCAAGGTGTGGGGCAGGCCAGGCTGGGTGTGAGGTGTGGGGCAGGGCTGGGTGGCTGCCTGCCCATCTGCTCACAGCTGGCTGGGGCTGAGGCCCTGTGTGAGCCTGGCAGGTGCACTGACGCTTGTGCCTGGCTTTACTCCATGTAGGGTGCAGTCGAGGGGTGAGTGGGAGAGGGTGGCCTTGGAACATGGAGGTCTGGGGACAGAGACAGCCCAGTAATACTTTCGAGGTTCCCTCTGTCTGGTCAGGATGCCAAGAAAGATGATGCCATTCGGAAGGCCTACAAGTACCTAGCTGCCTTGCATGAGGTGAGGGGAGAAGGATGCTGGGGGACGGGGTGTGGAAGGGGTAGGGGGTGGGGGCTGTGTGCAAGCCTTCTGCTCCTGTTGTCCCTAGAACTGCAGCCAGCTCATCCAGACCATCGAGGACACAGGCACTATCATGCGGGAGGTTCGAGACCTCGAGGAGCAGGTGAGGCCTGGGGGTGGGAGGGGGAACCAAGGCAAGCCAGGGGCCAGCTCCTCGGTTTATGCTGAGAGGCTGTGGAACCAGACACAGCCTAGGGCTGAAGGCTCAGTCCTGCCCCTTGGTGCCTGTGTGTGTGATCTGGGTCAGGCAAATGGCCTATTGTGCACCCCAGCCTCTACCCCAAGGGCCCTCATGCCTGCCTCCCAGGGCCATTGGCAGAGGCTTGAAGATGTGGCACGGAATCCTGCCTTGCAGCAAAGGATGCTTTAGGTGGAGGGAATGCCACATGCAAAGGCCTGGTGGTGAGATGGAGCAGGCTGATGCTGGGGGTGGAAGGGACCCATAGTGGCCATGATGGGGTGCAGTGAGCAGGAGCTGGAAGAGGGGCCTGCATACAGAGCGGGTGTGTGTTCACATCGCCTTAGATTGAGACAGAGATGGGCAAGAAGACCCTCAGCAACCTGGAGAAGATCCGAGAGGACTACCGAGCCCTCCGCCAAGAGAATGTTGGCCTCCTGGGCCGGGTCCGGGAGGCCTGAGGAGCCCCCAGCAGAGATCTCCCCAACCTTAGTGAGGGATTTGGGGTGCTGGAGGCAGTGATCAAGCACCTACTGCAGCTATTCCCTCTGCTTGCTGTCCACTTCCTCTTGCTGTGGCCTTGGATCCAGACCCCTGCCCACCTGACCCCAACCCTTATCCGGGGTGATCGTTGGCATTTGGGAGCTTGGCTGCAATTTATTGGGGAGGGTACTGGGAAATGGGGGCCTTGGATCTCAAATAAACAAGGAGCTCTTCTGCAGTCAAAGCTGAGGCATGGATTAGGGCTCGGGGCAGGGGAGAGGGGTGTGTGGCAGGGGAGACACAGGGTATGTTTTGGCAAGTCAGTGTGTGTGGCTGTATGTCTGCATGGGACTCGGGAGACCCACTGGGGGGCTGTGCGTGTGCATTTGTGTGCATGCATGTGAGATACGCAGGTGAATGTTAATGGGCTGTGTGTGTGTGACCGAGCATGTGTCAGGGGCTGCATGAGACCAAGCATGAGTGATTATGTGTCCGTGTGGCTTTCTGGAACCTGAGACCCTGGGGGTACTGACGCTGCTTCTGTGCTGGTATCTAGGCACACCCCTGCGTGATATTGCCCCTGTTGGCCCTAAGGCTGGCTCTGGGTGCGTGCTTTGGGGTATGTGAGTTAGTAGGATTGTGCTCATGTGTGCTTGTTTATGTGACTGCAGCTTTGAGGTCATTTGAGTGTGCTGAGGCAGGCTCTGTGTTTTGAGTTTGTGTTAGAGTCCAGGGGTCAGGACCGACAGTCTGTGTCTGTGTGACTTTTCCAGCTCTGAGGTCATCTGTGAGAGTGGCTGAGGCAGGCTGAGTGTGGCTGGTTGTGAAGGCTCCATTTGGCTGGCGGGCCCATCTCGGGTGGGGTGGGGCAGGGTGGAGGTGAGGGCTGGGGCTGGGACTGGGCCCCCTGTGAACAGCCTGGGGACAGAGGATATGACCCAGGAGGGCTACCAGCTGGGAAGCAGGAGCTTTAGAAAGCAAGACAGTGGACACCTCACTTCCTCCCTAAGGGCACATCCAGGACCTGTCACCCCTGCCACCTGCCACCTCTGCCCCTGTCTTGGCCCCTGTCCTTCCTTCCTTCTTTCCTTGGTGGTGAGCTCAAGGGCCAGGTGTAGGGTTGGAACACCTGCTGGGTCTCTGGCTCCTTTTCTTGCGGAACTCGAACTCATCCACGGTCCACACAGCTCCCTTCTCGCTCTCCACCCGCACGAAGCACTTGTGCAGGCTCAGGTTGTGGCGGATGGCATTCTGTGGGAGGCCAGGGGTGCCGGAGCAGGTGAGCAGTCATACTCTGAGCTTAGCAGCCCGCCACCAACAGCTGACCTCCTGCCCATTGTCAACATGCCTATGAGCCCCACCCCAGGTCCGCCTGCTCCCAAGCCACAGTCCACTTGAGGCCATCTTAGCCACTGCCACCTCCAGAGGAGCTCACCTTCCAAGTGGCAGGGTGGTTTCTGAAGAAGGCAAACATGCGTGTGAACCAGTGGTAGATCTCATTGAGTGTCCGCTGCTTCTCGGGAGCTTCCAGGATGGCCTGGAGGGTAGGGATGGGGTAAGGGGTGCGTTCTTCCAAAGTTGGGGCTGAGGGGCACAGTGGCCTACCCTGGGCATCCGACATGAGAGCAGAATTGTGGCGGTGGGGGTGAGAGAGGGAGAGAGATGGGGCAGAGTGAAGGATCAGGGACAGGGTTAGGAGCTGGGTGAGGGATAGAGTCAGGTCAGGACAGGGTTAGATGGGGTGGCTGTGGTCAGCTTGAGATTAGGTAAAGGATCAGAGCTGAGTTTGGGAGTGGGGTCATATTCAGGGTTAGAGCTGGAGTGAGGTTCAAGGTCTGGATGGAGTTGGAGTTGGGGTTCTTTGTGGGGGTGACATTTCAGGGTTTGGGAAGGTCAGGGGTCAGAAGTGGGGTCAAGGATTTGGAAGGGATAAATCGCCAGGCTGAGTTATGGGTCAGGGAAGGGGCTGGTTAAAAGTCAGGCTGGGGGTGGCCTGGGGTGACTTAGGGATGAGGGACGGGATGACAAGTGGCATTAGGTCAGGAGTCAGAGATGGGCCTAGTTATGGAGTATTTTATGTGTTAGGGATGTGGCAGGTGGTTAGATTCAGAGGCAAGAGTGAGGTTAGTTGTGGGTTAGGTGTGGAATGAGGCCGAGGGTCAGGGAATTTGATCTGTTTGGATTTAGGAATGGGATTAATGAGTCTCTGATTATGATTGCCATGAAGTTATGGGTCAGGATGGGGCTAGGCTGGGGGTTTAGTTCAGACACAGAGTCAGGAAGAGCTGGTGTTATATAAGGGTTAGGTTTGGGTTTGGGGTTAAGTGTGGGGCTGGATGAAGGTTCTGGGAGGCTGAGATGAAGGGGCTGGGATGGGCTGAGGTTAAGGGTCAGGTAGGTGTTACATGGAAGGGTGAGGGATGGGATCCAACTGGGGGGTGGGTTGATGTACTGGGGTAAATTAGGGCTGGGGAAGATATAGGGTTGGGTTGACATAAAGGCCGGGGAATGAGATAGGGTAATAGCTGGGGTGGGCTTAGGGCAAGGGGCAGAAATAGGTAAGTTTGGGGCTATTTTGTAGGGCCAGGAGATGGTTAGGGTTGGGGTTGAGGTGAGCATCTAGAAAGGGGTGGGTTTAGGGTCAGAATTTGGCATGCACTGGCCTGGTTTAGGTTTGGGTTCAGGGACAGGTTTGGGATGAAGTCAGCATGGGGGATCACATTTGACACATGGCTTGGGGCTTCTCGGGGCTGGGGCTTGTTAATGGAGGAGCCCACTCTGAGGTGCCCAGAGTGAGGTGGGAGTCTGGGAGGCAGGTCCTCACCCCTCTCCCTCTCCCTCTCCCTCTCCCTTGTCCTTGGGCCTGAGCTGCCCTGCTTACCCAGCGGATGAGGGTGGCATAGGTGAAAGGGGGCCGCATGTTGTGGAACTTGAAGTAGTCCATATTGTGGAAGAACTCTGTCAGAGGGTGGGGACAAATCAGCCCTCATCCTGTGTAGGACCTCCTAACTCCTTGCCCCACTCACTCTCCCTCTACTGTGGGAGGGTGAAATCCCACTGTCTAAAATCCCACCGTCAACACCAGTGTCAATGGTCATAGGACTTGTTTGCTGGGCACCTGACACACATCATGTCATTTAGTCCTTGCACCATTTCTGCCAAAATAGCTCTCCTTGAGATTTAAAAGGAGTGAAGTAACTTGCACACCAAAGGATGTAACTAACTGGTTAAGTGGCAGAGCCACTTTGCAGCCCCCCCACCCCCAGCGCCTGTCAGGATTAGGGGCTTGGGGTTACTGTGTAGGGCAAGGGCCATTTTACCTGGGAATGTGCTGTTTCCCTGACTGCCCCACAGGTGCCTCCTCACAGCAAAGAGGCTGTCAGGGTTCTCATGGGGGCTGGGCCAGGTTGGGACGAAGGCGCCCTGGGTGCCAGCCGCTACAATACAGCAGGAGCCCTTGTCAGATGATGTCTGGGGGAGGAGGCAGAGGCTGGTGACTCAGAGGCCTAAACTTTCCACTTTATTTTTAAATCACTGTTTTTAAAAGTAAGGGCCCCCTCTCCTCAATTCCATACTAATGTGGAATCCCATGAAGCAGCATCAGCTGCATTTATTAGAGTGTGGGTGTGGACGTCATATGTAGCCACTGACACTGGGGCTATGAGCCGGGGTTGAATTGTTCTCCTTCACCATCCAACTGTGACCTTGGGAAAGTCACATAAACCTCCCTGGCCTCAGTTTTTGTCATCTGTGAATTGGAGATGATAGTGCTACCTACCTCATGGTGGCATCATGAGGACTGAATAAGTTAACATCAGCAAAGTGCTCAGAAACAGTGCCTGGCACCCACGGCTGGCTTCATGAGCATGTGACCCGTCTAGTTACACAGGACCTCATGCATTAATGCTCTGTGGTCACTGTCTTGAAATTTGAATAAGGGGGCCTGCATTTTAAGTTTACACTGGGCCCTGCCAGTTTAGGTAGCTGGTCCTACTGGCACATAGTCTGTTCGCTAAGTGGCTATTTGCTGTTGCTTTGAAAACCCAGGATCACAGTGTTTCAGGATCTTAGGGTCAGAGGGTTTGTCAGTGGAGGGCGTCAGATTCCCAGGTCTGGGCACGTTTGGAGCTGAGGACAGGGGCCCGTAGATCACAGGGTCCGCATATAGAGATAGGTTCCCTGCCCTCCCGCAGGGCTCCCTCCACTCCCCCCAGCGGTCTATGCTTGCTTCCTACCGGCTGGAGGTTGCTCACAGCAGATGGCGCCTTGGTCAGGGCCATTTTTCCGGCCAGGTGGGCCTGCATAGCACCCAGCTTCTCTTTTTCCAGCACCAGCTGTGAGGATGGGCATAAAAGTGAGGCCTCAACCCGGCCTTTTCCTACCACATCTTTGCCTGGGCTATTGTTCTTCATTCATGCCACCCTCACCGTGGGGTAGCCTGGCTCCTGGCATGGAGCGGACAGAAGTTTTGTCCCTTATCCCCTATCCCCTCCCAGCGTTACCTGGTGCTCCAGAGACTGTACCACCTCTTTCTGGAGGAGACACTGTGCCCTGCCCTTCTCATCTAGGAGATGGTCCGCCTGGCAGTGCCTAGGTAGGGGAAGATTCTATGCAGGTAACCATGACAGGCCTGGCCTGGCTTAACATTCCTAGTGGGGATGACCCAGACCTTCTGGAAGGTCTCTCCTCAGAGCTCCCCTCCCCTCTCTACCTCAGTCTCTCTCTCACGCCTGTCATTCCTTCAACGCATGCCATTCAGCACTTACTGTGTGCCAGGCCTGAGTGCACCCTCTGAGATGTTGGAAGGGTGGTGAGCTGACAGTGGGCCAGGCAAGTGAGAGTGGGAAAGGCATTCGAGTGGAGGGAACAGCCTATGTGAAGGCCTGGCCTGTGTGAGGGACATGCTGAGTTGCTGCTAACAGTTGGGTATGGTTGGAGAAGGGGTGTGTGTGTATGTGTGATGGGGCTGAGGGGAGGTAGCAACAGCCATGTAGAGGAGCTGGGACTTTGGTGATCAATGAAATCAGGCTGGTGTGCTGGCATGATGAGCCGTGGAGCAAAGCAGTTAGGAGTGTGGATTCTGGAGCCTGGCTGTCTGGTTTTAAATCCCAGCTCTGTCAGTCAGGGACTGGGTGATCTTGATCAAGACACTTAACCTCTTTGGCCTCAGTTACCTTGTCTGTAAAACGGAGGTAAATAACAGTAATACCTTTATTATTATACCCCATTATACATATGAGGAAACTGAGGTTCAGAGAAGCTGAGTAACTTGCCCAAGCACACACATCCAGTGAGAGCTGGAGCTGGGATTTGAATCAACAACCCCAGCGTTTGCATTTTTCATCTTACTACCTATCGAGATGAGGCCTGAGCTAAGATGTGCACCCCAGATTGCCTCCCACAAACCAGGATCCCCTGGACTGGCGTGCACCAGGGCCACTCACTTGAGGAAGTCCTCTGGCTCCTCAAAGACCTTTTCGCAACCAGGCCACTTGCAGATGCCATTTACCAGCAGTGGGTAGGAGCTCTGGGGCATGGCTGAAAGGGCGCTGGGGGGACAGAGGGTGTCAGGGGAGGGGATAGCAGAGTGAGAGTCCTTCCCAGCCCTGTCCACTGACCTGTCCTTCCTGGGTGCACTGGGGTTTGGGAAGGTGCAGAGCAGTGCTGGCTCCTTGGACACCCATTCCAGGCTGGCTACGTTGATCCCTGCAGGTGGGAACAGGGTACCTCTGGGGGCTGCAGGCCAGGCTCTGGAGCTTAGCCCACAAGGCTTCTCATTTTGAGCTTCCCACCCTCCTGAACCTTGAAGGCCCTGACTCCCAGGGGGCTCTGCTGTTCCAAAAGTCCCAGGTTTCTGGCAGAGCAGCGGAAAGACTGCTATTTGCAAGTGCTGACATTTTGACTAACTTCGTAAAGATCTGTGGTTCCATGATTTTGACGTTCTGCATCTTTAAGATTCTGAACCTGACATTTTTTGGAGGTTGGCGTTTCCAAGCCTCTGAGCCCTGACACCTCTGACCTCCAGGGGGCTGCTATTCAGAACAGCCTGCACTGCTCATGTTCAAGGATTTGGGGACCCTGGGGTACATGCTGAGGTGTTACCAGGTGGCAGTCCAGGCCGGGCCTTGAGGGAGAAGACCCCGGTGGTGGCAGTGGGTGGTGGGAGGCTGATCATGGCTGGGCTGTCCAGTGGGTGCACCTGCAGCACAGGGGTCCGGGCGTGGGCATCCACTGTTGAGAGCTGCGGATACACATGGGCTGCGGTTCAGCCTGGCTGGGAGCCCCTCCCCACAGTTCTCCCACCTTCTTTCCCATTCATGGTTCATACCTGGTGCATGAAGTGTGGTCGGTCTTGAAGGAGTGCCTGCAAGTGGGGTAAGGGGCCCAGCCGTGCCCCGGAGGGTGCCACCATGACTAGGGGCACTGTGGGCAGCTGGAGGGGGGGGCAGTAAGGCAAGCAGGTGAGATGCCATCCTCATTCTCATTGTCCTGTGTCTAATTCATATAACTCCACACATGGTAGGTACTATGACCATTCCCATTTCATGTGTGTGGAAACTGAGGCTTATGGAGATTGAGTCACTTTTTCAAGATCAAACAGGTAATAAGTGGCAGAACTGGCCTCAACCCTGTCACCTAACCTTCTTGGGCCTCAGCCCTCTCCTCTTGTCACATGGGGATGGGGACACATGGCTGTGCCCATGGGACCACAATAGGTTTTCCTCCTCTCCTGACACAGGGATTGGGAGGTTGGGGAGAGCCTTGAATCTCTAAGGCCTGGAAAGTGGGGACTTTCTTGGCCCTGTGACATCTGCATAAGTCACAGACTTGCCTGGGACCCAGAAACCACTTCCTGTGCCCCAGCCAGCACCCTCTCCCGCCCAGTGCCACAGTAAAGGTCGGCACCTGTAGGCCCAGGTACCCCACCCTGCCTGCCCCATCCTGGGCCTGGGGCCTCACCTGCAGCTGCGATGGTGGCATGGGGTTCAAGGAGGAGGAAGAGGTCTGGGCCCCACCTCGGAGGTCCCGGCCTTGGAAGGTTCCTCCTGGGCCCCTGGCCCCCAGCAGGTCTGAGGCCTTGGGCACAGCCCTCCAGCTGGGTGAGGCTCCTGGGGATGGACCGAGGGCCAAGGAAGGAGCTGGGGGCTTGGCTGGCCTGGGGTTGGGCATTGGGTCCTTGTCTGAAGGCAGGCTGCATGAACAGAGGGGGAAGGAGTCACACATGTGCTGGGGGCAGAGCGAGATACTCATCCAAATTATGCAGACACCTGCTCTGGTTAGAGCAGGCATTGGCTGGGACATGTGCCAAAGGGCCCCACAGCTGCACCCCAGCTCTGATCATGTATACACACACACACACACTGGTGTCAGGAACACAGGTACATGAGTGTACCCACACGTGCCCCACGTGCGCGAGTCCAGTCCCCAGCTTGCCTCCACATGCTGGGACAGCCCTGGTGTGGATGTGTCCTTCACAAAGGCAATGGGTGAAGATTTGTGGGGCCTCAGTCAGTACAGGTCTCAGACCATTCCTGCACCACTTGTGGCTGTCTTCAAGCCTCAGCCCTCTGTCCTCTCCACTCCCTGCATAGGCCACGTGGCCTTTGCTCATCCTACCAGGGCTGATCTCCGACTTTCTCCTGGGGGCACTATTTTATCCCAGTGACTTAGGGATGGACTGAAAAAAAAGAGTTGTTTGGCTGCTGTGAAGGAGACTAATGAGGAGGCTACTGCAATGGTCCAGGCACAGGATGATGGTGGCACAGGTCAGAATAGTAGCAGTGGAGATGGTGAGAAGTGGGTGGATTCTGAGGCTATTCTGAAGGTGGATGCAAGAGCAGTTGCTAGCAGCTTGAATGTGGGGGGTGAGAGAGGGAGGGTCAAGGTGACTTCTGGGTTTCACCCTGAGCAGCTGAAAGGACAGAGCAGACATTACCTGAGATGTGGACATCATGGGGCAGTGTAGGGTTGGGGGTGAAAGTCCAGGTGTACAGGGACATGAAGAGTCTGGCGCTAGAAATGCCGAGTGGGCAGCTGAATACAGGATCTGGATCTCAGGGCAAGGAGTCTGATCAGCTCTGGGCTCCTACCCTGCATGGAGCTGGCATGGCACATGCCAGAGAGGAGGAGACATAGGCTTGCCTGAGCCAGGGGCTGTGGGAGCCCCTCAACCCAGCCCCCATCAGAGTTCATCTGACCTCTGCCCCCCAAGCCTGCCTCCAAACCTTGCTCATGCTATTCGCTCTGCCAGGAATGCCCACTCCTCTGCCTCTTCCCCTATCTGAGCCACACAAGGCCTGCTCTGTTGTCCTTGTCCTGAAAGCCCTCCATGATGGCTCCAGGGCCCTCTGCTGAGCCCCAGAACCTTACGCTCCCTGATACGCAGGGCCTCGGCTTCTCAGGACCTTGTAATCCCAGTCTGAGGGGAAGCCCAGTTCAACCCCTATTTTATTGAAGGGGACACTCAGGTGCTGAGTTCCATAGTCCCATGGCAACATGAGACCTCCACTTCTTTCTTCAATAATTGTGTACACCCATGTGCACATTTCCCAATCCCTCTGCTGTGCATGTGTGTGACTCCCCGTCCCACCCTGAGGCACTGGGTTGAGCGCACAGCTGCTGAGAGCAACCCAGGTGAGCACAGGAGGATTCTGGAGGAGGAGTCACTCCTTCCTTTCTTTGCTGTTACCTCATTGGGGTTGTCAAAGCTGTGGTGCTGAGGGAGATGGGTGTGAGAATCCAGGTATTAAACCTTTAGTCTCTTGGCTAGAACATTACTGTGTGAAAATCTGCGTCTGTGGAGGCTCAGAACAAGGACCTGGGAAAACGGTGAGATGAGGAGAATGAATGAATGAGTGAATGAATTAAGGCAGGGATGAGGTGATGCTTCTACAAGCCAAGGGACAGCAAAGATTGCCAGCAAACCACCAGAAGCTAGGGGAGAGGCACAGAGCAGATTCTCCCTCACAGCGCACAGAAGGAACCAGCCCTTATTCTGGACTTCTAGCTTCCAGAACTGGGAGATGATAAATTTCTGTTGTTTAGGCCACCTAGTTGTGATACTTTGTTACAGCAGCCGGAGCAAACCAATACCAATCTCATGGTCAGTGAGTGGATGTTTCTACCACTCGGGCCTGGCCCATGTGGCTGGCCTGTGGTCACTTCTGAAGCTGCTTGGACACTTGGCCAAAGCTTATAAGAATTCTCCTCCCCAAACACATCTGGAATGGCCTGACTCAGGGGAGCATCACTACATTCTGAGAAAGGGGGCCTAGGTATGGTCTGTCTGGTGGTGGGGGACAGAGAGGGCCGGGCTGGGCAGCCAGCTTCCTGCACTGTCTGTTGCGGTGTCCCTTTCTGACTAGGTTTCTCAGAAGCTGCATGGAGGATGTTTTTGGGACACATAATGTTTTTGTATTGGGGTCTGCATCTGGGCCCCGTTGTCACAGCCCCCAACTTCCCCAGATTTTTCTGCCATTGACGTCATGGCGGCCGGATGTGCTGGGCTTCATCGGCACCAAGGAGGAAGCGAAGGGGGCAGATACCCAACCTCATGGGTTTCGTTCCGAGAACTGGCTGTCCTGTCCTGCAACCGGCTTGGCCTAGGTGGGGTGATGTGGGTGCTGGCGGATGTGGTAGGTGACATCCATCTGGCCACCATGATGAGCCATGGGCTCTGTAGACCTGGCCCTTCTTGGGCTGTAGAGAGGCCCCAGGTTTGAAGCTCAAGGAGCACCAGGCAGGCCCTACAGATACTGGGACCCCTGGGGTCTTGAAACAGTACATCACTAGTACCTCCGAATCATAGAACATTATTTCTTAGATTCAAAGAATCCCTGAATCTCGAAACCACAAACTCTGTGTGGTCCATGGATCCAACTTCTCAGTATGTGTAGGCCAATGTCCCTGGTATCCTAACTCCCTGGAACCACGTGAAGGACAGGCAGCTCACCACTTCACAGGGCCTCCTGCCCACCAGGCCTAGAATCACAGCAAACCTCCCCTCAACCTCCATCCTGAATTCTGAGCAGGTAGAGGGTCAGAATAACCCCCTCTGCTCCCCGCAGCCTGGGGTCAGGCTTGGCCGATAACTAGCTTTAACTCTCCATTTGGAAATTAGGCAGTAATAGGACCCATCTGCTGAAGTCAATGCACATGAGACACTTTGCAAAATGTCAATGATTGGTAAATGAACACCTACAGGGCCTCAGTCTCCCTGTCCATTCTGGGATGACTTTCCTAGATTCATAGCCACTCCACCTGAGATGGGGATGGAAAGAGGAGGAGGTTGAGGCTGGCGTGTCTTCAGCCTGTGCCTCATGGGGGAGTAGGAAAAGCCCCACCACTCTTGCCAGTACAGAGCCCACCACCAGGCTCTCTGGAGGGGACCTAGGATCGAGGTTCTCAGGGACCAGCACCAGCTCTAGAGACACACAGCTTGGCAGACACCTCTCCATCATCACCACCCTCTGGCCAACTAGACCTTTTGACTCCACCTGGCCCAACTATGGGCCCCATGTTGTGATTGTAGATCTTCCTGCCCTAGTCAGGGTCCAACCTGTGGGAAGGCAGAAGGGGGAATGGCAGCCAAGGTCCTCCTTTGCCCTTATGGGTGCTGATGGGCAAACTGAGGCCCGCAGTGAGGGAGAAAGACAAAGCTAAGGTCCTGCCGAGAGTCCTGAGATCTGGGCTTGGGTCTCAACTGCATCTCTGTAAGGCCTTGGGAGAAGCCCTCCCACCCATCTCTGGGTCTCAGCTTGCCCTTCTAGGCTTGGAAAGGGAGAGGTGTGGGGCATATGAGGCCCAGGACTCTTCTGCTCTGTATCTGAGTGAGTCATTGGGTATCTGCAGGGCTTCAGGTTGACAATTGCCTCTCTGTCAAGGGGACTTGGCTGAGAGACACAGAGAAAAAGAGAGACAGCAACAGAGAGAGGGAGAGGGCAGACCGAAAGATGAAGGGGAACAGAAAGACACAACGACTAAGAGATAACTGAGAGAGATGAAGAGACACATAAGGTGGGAGAGAGACAGATACAGAGAGCAAGAGACAGAGAACAAGAGAGTGAGAGACATTGAGAGAAACAGAGAGATAGAGACGGAGAGAGAGAGATATTGCCCTAAATAAGAATAGTAGCTGGTCTCTGACTGGAGGAACTGATTTTCCTGAAATCACGAAGAATAAGGCTGGGTGAGGGGCCAGGGACGCCCATAGCTGGGTTGAATTGTATTGCAAAGAGACAACCAGCAAAATAGCATGGCCCAGGTACTAGAACAGATACTGTGGAACAGAACAGAGTAGAAAACTTGGACACAGACCCTTATAAAGAGGGAGTTGAGTTTGTGATGAATGTGGCATTTCAACTGAGGGATGGTGGAGGATGGATTGTTTAGTAAATATTTCTGAGATAATTAGGAGGAAAATAAAGTTATTGAATGAATAATCCATCCATTTTCCCACCCCCCCCAGTTTGAAATGTCATCATCATCATATACCCTAAAACACTCAGATCCATTAAAGAGATTAATTTTAATATCTAATGTTGATGTTGGGTTTATTGTGTGTTAGGCCCTAATTGTGTGCTAAGCCATGGTAAATCATGGTTAATAAATTTAGTCTTCACAAAGACCCTTTGAGGTAGGTACTATTATAACCATCATGGCACACATGAGGAAATGGAGGTCTGGAGAGAGTGCCTGGCTGGAAATTAACACAGATTGCTTAGGGTGAGGCTGAGTTTGTCCCAGACAGTCTGGCTCCAGTACCCACATTCTTAACCTCTACAGTAAATGGAAAAAATGAAGCCATAAAAGACTAAAAGCCAACATAGGTGAACATTTATCTAATTTTCAAGTGGGAAAAGACTTTCTAAGCACAAAACCAGAGACAGAAACCACAGAAGAAAAGACTAACCTATTTGACTATATAAAAACATCATAAGCATCACAAAAAATACCATAAACAAATAGAAAAAGCAAATGATGAATTGAGGGAAAATAATTGCTACAAATGTATGGCTGATGGAAGGTTAATATCTTTTCAAATAAAGAGCTGTGGCAAATCAATAAGAAAAGATGAATACCCTATTAGGACTAAAGACAAGATTGGACAACTCCCTCCCCCCCCAAAAAAATAGTCAATAAACTGTAGAGTAGTCAAAGAATGCAAATTTCAACAATGCAGTAATGTTTTTTCTTACCTGTTATATTGGGAAAGAATTAAAAAATGACAGGGTTAGCCTGAGTAGAGGGAGTATAAAACAGGACAACCTTTTGGAAGAACGATTTGCAGAGAGGGTCAGAAACCTTAAAAGTGCACATTCCCTTTGCCCCAGCAACTCCATTTTCAGGAATCCAAGGAAAGAATCAGGGATGTTTATGGGGAAAAACTAGAAACAACCAGAATGTCCAAAATCGGCACTTGGTCAAATCTATCAGTTCACACCCATGTGAGGACAGTCTTGACAGCCAGGAAAGATCATATGTTCAAACAATTTTTAGTGAGCTTCAAAAATGCTCCTATTAATTGAATAAAGCAGGAACAAAACCAATATATAGTGTGATTCTAATTTGGTTAAAAAAATACTAATAGCTGACAGCACAGGCAAGCACCGTGCTAAGCCTGCAGAAACAAGCTCACTCCAGCCCTTAACGACCTGCTCTCTTCCTGAACGTGGGTTCTGGTCACACGCATGCAGTCCTGGGGTAGGACCACACAGCTAAACCATGGTTGACAATATGTGAAGTACCCCCCGCCCCAGGAGGGTCTCCTTTCACACGATGCAAGCACAGTTCAGTGAAGGACTCGGCCCGACCTGACAGCTCACAATCCTCCCGCTGTTGGGGCAAACAGAACTGATGCTCATTCTTGTAAAATGTACATGTCCTCAGCGATGTTACTCAGCACATTATTATTAAGCACCAGCTACGTACAAAGCTCTTTTAGGGTCCTGGGTGGGAAGACAGGCAGGGAAGGTGAGATGAGAGCAGGAGAGATGATGGGAGACAGACGGGGGAGGGGGGAAGGAGATAGATGGAGTGTGGTCAAGATGGAGGAGACGGAGACAGGGGAAATGGCCAGGGCCTGGGAAAGATGGAGGGACAGAGTCTGAATGTGACGGAGCCAGACAGATGGCGAGAGAAAGAGGGGTAGAGAAACCAGGAAGGAGCGAGACGGTGAGCAGAGAGACCAACTGGGATGGGAGGCATCAAGAGTGAAGGGAGAGACACATTTGAAATTTCCAGCTACACCTGGACAGTGTTTCAGGTTGTTCAAAGCTCTAAAATCCATCAAGACCAGCAGATGACATATTTTAAAAATCTTACCCATCTATCAGTTGATCAATTTATTTTTGTCCCTGTCCAAGCACTGATTAAATACTTCACCTATCAGTCTTCTGGTATTTATTATGACTATTATTATTTTTAAAAAGACCTTACCTGGCTGGAACCACAGTGGCTGGGTGTGTCCGACTGTAGCAGAGGGCCCCTGACCCCCCATGCCTACTTGCCCACCATTTCCTCTCCCAGATCTGGTAGGTGAGAGCGGGGACACTCACCTTGGCAAAGTGGACTGGCAGAAAAGGATCAGCCTGGCTTGTGGGAAACTGTCACATATCAAAAACAACTTTGCCTTTATACTGAGAAGAAAAACCACGACGTGGAAGCCACAGACCTCTCTCTTCTAATAATCCAATTTTTTTTTTATGAGTATGTGTTCTGATAATCACAGGGTGGGGGGGGTTCTCATAGTTTTCTCTCTCTCTCTCTCTCTTTGTTTCTCCTCTTCTTGATTATGAGACTTAAACGGAAATTTTGAAATTTTGGGTTTTTTCTTTGCCCTTTACAAGTCATCTGAAAATATGATTTCTTCCCCTCACCACAGAGGTGAGAGGTATCAATGAGATAACAGGGCTCATGAGAAACCACAGTGTTTTAAACAAAAGTGTATAGAGTTAAGAAAAAAAAACAAGGGAAAAGGACTCAAATAAATCACAGAGATATCTCAGGGCAGGCAGAGACACCATTCTGTGAGGGAGAGGATATTTGAGGGTCTCTGGGGAAACAATGAGAATTCGAAGCTCTGTGTGTAGTTGGGAAATGCCAGGGAAAGAAACGGAATAGGGCTGGCTTTCCAGAAGCTTCTAGGCCTCAGTTTCCCCTTAGGTGGAATTGATATGGTCCCCACCAGTCAAACTGCCCAAACAGCGGAGTCTGGACACCCCTGCAAACCCCTCCCACAGAGGGTGAGGGGCATATAAGTTACTTCATGGAGGAAAATGCAGGGAGTCCACCCTTACTCGAAGACCTGGAGAACCACTGGCTCCCAGAATCCACTGATGGCCAATGAGTCAGGAAAGGGAGGAAAGTCTCGCCTCATCATGTTTTAGGGCTTGAGTGCTCTGCCCTGGCCACTGCCCTACTGAGAAGGTCGCAAGTAGGCCTCCATCCACATGAAGGCCCCTTGGGACCATGACTCTCTCATGTCAGGAACATCATGGCCTGATGCTTCTGCAGCCCCTAGGCTTTGTGATTTTCTACTTTGAAAAGCCCCAGTTTCCAAGGATTTAGGATTCCAAATATCTGCCATCACTCTAGTAGCTGACATTTATCTAGAATTTTCCATGTGTCAGACACAGCTCTGAACGCTTCTCACAAATGATCACATGCAAACCTCACCACAGCTCTTTGAATTCCATCTCATCAATGCCATCTCGTCATTGAATTCCATCTCGTCTCTGTATTGCTGTTATACAGACGGGGGAAATGGAGGCACAAAGTAGTCCAGCAACTTGCCCAAGATCACAGAGCTGGTCAGTGGGGGTCCTGCCTTCCTTGGTGCTGGGCTTTGAAACCCTCAGGTTTCACCAAACCCAATGTCTCAGGTTTTAAATTCTAGGATTTGGTGACAGGGATGTTCTGGGATTTGGAGACTCCTCTGGAGGCTTGAAGCTTGTGAGGTTTTAAGGTTGTCCAAGAATTGGCAGCTGCATTTCCTCACCTCAGCAGGCACTCACTTCAACCCCTGGTCAACATCAGAGACCAGCCCCCAGGGGCTTCTCCTGACAGGCCATGGCCGAGACTTCCAGCCTCCGGCTCCCCAGCATCCTGCGTGGCCCAGGGTCCTAGTCATCCAATGTTCACTCCAACCCTCTGCAAGACTGGTTTCAGGCCTGGGGAAGAGAAATTGGAAACAGCTTTTTATTCGCATGGTACAAATCTAGTGTCCAAGACCCACTCCTTCACCCCTTCGCCCCTTTTCCTCCCCCCACCTTCTAAGCCCTCAAAAAAAGGAGAGCCTCTTTGCTCAACTCAGACTTACCCTTCTGGAAATGCCCAGAGTGGGCCTGGTGTCTTGGCTTTGTGAAGACAAGGAAAAAAAAAAAAAGTGAATAGAAAAAAAAAAAAGACCTAAAAAAAAAAAATCAGTCAACAACAATAAAAAAACAACCAACTCTTCCTACCATTAGTTCAAACAAAACTTTCACTGGTTGAGGATTCAGGGTTGGTGGGACATGTCTGAGACCCAAAGATGGCTTGTGTGAGTTGGACAGCCAGAGGAGGCACCAAGAGGGGATGAAATCCGCAGCTTAGAAGCCTGCATGGACCCTGTGTACAGCAGGTGCTTAACAGATGTGGGAGGGAGCAAGGTAGGGGGTGCAGATCATGCTTGTCAGCAGGGAGTCCTGCGGAGCTGACTGTAGGGATGTTCCCAAGGTTAATGACCCACTGCTCCCTGCAGACTTGGATCTGAACATTTCCTACACCTCCTGTGTAATTATTAATATAAACCAGGCTAGTTCTAGAAGTGGAGATCTTATCCCCTACCCCAGCACTTGTCCCCTCCTGGAAAAGGGAGCTAAATTTCTCTCTCAGGGTCAAAGATATAGGCTGTATCCTCCTCATGCTTTCCCTAGACCATCTGTCCTTTACGTCATTTACTCCATGAGAGAGATTGGCCAGAGAGATAGGAAGAAAACTGAGTGGGAGTAGCCCAAAGAGTCCCAGGAGGCCCCTCGAGCAGGGCCCAGAGTGTGGGATGAGTGATGCTACTGCTGCTGAAAGCCAGGATCCTTGTAGAATGAGGGCTAGGGGTCAGATGGGCAGAGGTCACTGCCTCCTCTCTATACTGGACTATATCCTATGGCATGGAAACCTTATGGGGAAGGAGATTGGAAGGACTGGGAGTTGGGGGAGAGTAAGCAGGATTAAACAAGTTGGGGAAAGTCCTCAGAGAAGGGGGCCTTTGGCAAACACTTGAAGGAGGTGAGGGAGGGAGCTGCCTAGATATCTGAGGAATGCCAGAGGAAACAGCCAGTGCAAAGTCCCTGAGGTGGAAGTGTACCTGATTTGTTCAAGGTCTACAAGGAGGTTTGTTTGGTTAGTGTAGAGACAGCAAGAAGAAGAGGGGTAGGAGGTGAGGTCAGAGAGGGGACTATGCAGGGTTAGACCATGTAGGACCTTGTAGGCCATGGTGAGGACTTTGGCTTTCACTCTGAGTGAGGAAGAAGGCATGGGAGTGTTGTGAGTAGAGGAGAGACATAAACTGTCTTTGGATTTAACTGAATTCTCCTGACTGCTGAGTGTAGTAGTATAGGGGCCGAGGGTAGAAGCAGGGGACTAGCAAAGAGGAGGCTACTGCAGTAGTCCAGGTGGCTGGTGATGGTTCTGGCAGTGGAGGTGATGAGGAGAGGGTGGATTTGGTAAATATTTTGAATAGAGAAGCAACAGAATTTGTTGAAGGCTAAGAGTCTTGGTGCCAGAGAGGGATACAGACAATGCCCAAACCAGGTGGGCAGGAAGGAGTCACTGGGCAACTTGCTAGCTTGAACTTTTAGATGAAAAAAAAAGTTTCTATCTTGCTTAAGGCCCCATTATTTCGTCATTCTGTTACTTACAGCTGAACATATTCCGTCCTGACCCATGACTCCTTCCTGGACACTGAGACCTGAGGAGGAGAGGGGCTGCTGGAGGGATCGTCTCCCTCCTAGGGATGTTGTGAGGTTTAGATGAGATAACAGCATGCTCAGAGCCTAGCATGCAGTAGGTGTTCAGTAAATCCTCCCAGGATGGAGGGGGAATGTTAAAATGGACATGTTCCATGGACAAAAAAGCTACAGTTCAAAAAAAAAAAAAAAAGCTACAGTTCAGTTTCCACAGAAAGTGAGACCTCAAAGGGAGAGTGAGAGTGAAAGGAGTTTATTAAATGGAGGAAGCAGAGGGGACAGCATTCTTAGAAGAGGGAACAGTAGGTGCAGAGATGGAGGACAGAAAGAAGGAGGTAAGGTCATTGTGTGGTGTGGGTTGTCAGATTGGGCAAGGGCAGGGCTTTGATTTGTGATTCCTTTAGTCAGTGTCTAACAACATGCCCAATCAACTCCTGGCAGCACACAGTCAGGCTCCGTGTTTGCGAGCTGAAGTTAAAACAAACAAACAAACAAACAAACCGAATCCTTCAAAAAGTTCAATTTCCCATTTGGCCATTCATTCAACAATAGTGCCAAGTCCTGGCGAGTGCTGGGGTTGACAATCAGGGGAATACTGGCTAGTGGCACCGCTCAAGCCAAGGCTGGGAGGTGGGCAGGGGGTACTCAGTAACTACAACAGTAGAGTCCTTTTTGCTTTCTTAGGGTGCAGTCTAGCCCCCTTCAGGCAGTCTGGGCTTTCCTGGGGCAGTGGCGAGTCACGGAGGGTTAGGGAGAGGACAAGTCCATCCCTGAGAGGTATACTCTTCCTATGGGCTGTCTGCATTCTACAGTTGTGAGGCTTGACCATCCAATAGCTCAGACTCTGCCTAGCACAGCCTTCCCCTCTAGTCTCCTTATTGGCTACTAATGCCTTCCTTCACACCACCTATACCGCCCGCGTTGGCTCTGCTCTTTCTCATTTTGCCTCCAAGTCTTTCCTCCGTTCCGCTAAGATCTCTAGCTTTGGCATTGGTTCATCCCATACTAGCACTGCCTTTTGAGGGCTCACCACTTTCACTCTGGCTCCTCCATTGGCTGTCCACCATCTGTCATCCTCGCTCCCACCTTCATCCCCAATCTCCATTGGCTCTGCTCCCTAAGGTCCCACCTCCGTGGCCGCTCACACACCTCCTCTTGGAAAAGTTAGCTTCTGTATTGGCTAGTTCCACCCTGGCACCGCCCATTGAAGCCCTGGTACACACTCAAGAGACTCCCCATTTGCTCGCTGCAGCCATCATCGTCATCCTGCGATGATCATCATCCTGGCTCCCCATTGGTTGTTCTGTCTCTAGCTTCTATTTCACCGCCTACGCAACCCACGGGATCTCCCACTTTTTGGGTCTCTCGGTTCGTTCCCTGCTGCCCCCAACACCTGTAGCCATTCCGCTTTCCATGCCGCTCCCGCTCAGAATTCCCCTTTAATTGTCCTACTTCTGCTCTCTTTATCCTGAGATACCCCACCACCCCCATTCCGGTCTCCATTGATTCCCCATTCCACCTCTTACACTGCCCACTCTCTGGCATCCCCATTGGCTGCGTGTTTCTCCTGCTCTCCATTCACTGCCTACGTCACTCACACGCAGCTGCCCATTGGCTCTCCGCTGGACCTGTCTTCATCTCGCCGCCTACGCCCCGTTGAGCCGTACCCCCCCCCCCCCTTCCTATTGGCTGCCCACTTCAGGCCCTGCCCCCGCCGGTCCCGCCGCCGGTGCCGTCGGTGCCGCCGCCGCCGCCGCCGCCGCCGCCGATATGGCGCGCACGGCCCCTGTGGAGCCCCCGCTACGGCATCCAGCGCCCCCCTCGCCGGCCGCGGGTGAGCCCCGCACCTCGGTTGAGGTGGCGGTGGCACCGCGGAGGGTGCTGTTCGCCGACGAGGCCCTGGGGCTGCCGCTGGCGCAGCTGCGTCGCTACCGGCCGTGGGGCGGGCCCGGGGCGGGCAAGATGGCGGCGGCCAGGCAAGATGGCGGCGGCAGCGGGGCTGATGAGGACGACGATGGCGAGGATGGGGATGAAGGGGAGGAGGAAGAGGAGGTCTGCCCTGAGCCCTCGCCGCTGTGCCCCGTACCCGCTGGCGGGGGTTTTTACTTGGTGCCCACATTTTCGCTGCCGCCCGCGCCGGGCCGTCTGGAGCGCTTGGGGCGCGTCATGGTGGAGCTGGAGGCGCTGCTGCCACCTCCAGGAGCGGTCCCCGGGGGTGCCGGGTTGTGGGTGCCTGGGGGGCGCCCGCCAGTGCTGCGCGGGTTGGTACGCGTGTTGAACCGCTCCTTCGAGAAGGCGGTGCACGTGCGGGCCTCACACGACGGCTGGGCTTCCTTCTGCGACCATCCAGCGCGCTACGTCCCGCGCAGCCCACCGGGGGCAGGAGCAGGAGGAACAGGAGCGGGAGATCCCATCCTGGATCTTGGCCTGGGCCCTGGCCAGGCGGCCGCCTCCTCGCCCGACGACGGCGGCCGCACCGACCGCTTTGCCTTCCAGCTGCCCTTTGCTGAGGGCGCGGGCGATGGGGCGCGCCTCGACTTCGTGGTGCGCTATGAGACCCCCGAGGGCACTTTCTGGGCCAACAACCACGGCCGCAACTACACAGTCCTGCTCCGGATTGCACCCGCTCCCACACCCACTGATGCCGAAGGGCTGCCCCAGCAGCAGCAGCTGGAGCCACAGCCTGAGTGCCAGGGTCCCGTGGAGGCTGAGGCCAGGCAGCTGAAGAGCTGCATGAAGCCGGTGAGGCGCAGGTAATGTCTGCCAGCGCCACCTCCACCAACCCAGGGCTGTGTCTAGGATGGAGGACAAGCATTCCAGCCCAGGAATCCCTCAGGCCTGCTCTCCAGGACAGGGAGGAGGGTGCATTCAGTCAAAGAGTGATGGAGGCCAAACATGTGCTAGGCACTGTTTAACTGGGGTTTCATTCATTCATTTATTGAGTTCCACTGTAAAGCCCTGAACAAGACATTTTCCCTGCCCTCAAGGATCACACAGGCTCCTGTGAAAGATAGTTTGAAAAAATGAGCAAGCAAGTAGATAAGATAAATAGGGATAAAGTTAGCTGCTGAGAGGATAGATTGGGAGGCAAGGGCTGCTTTAGATATGATGTTCAGGGATAGCCTTAGAGGTGAGTCCTGGATGATGCTGAGGAAAAGTTATGCACAGACGTGGAGGGAGGGCAGTTTGTAGAAATGGTAACAGGGAAGACTTTTCTGAGGAAATGCCATTTAAACTGAGTCCTGAATGATAAAGAACAGTTACTTGCATATATGGAACAAAGGTATTTTAGGTAGAGGAACAGTAAGTGCAAAGGTCCTGGGGTGGGAATGAACTTGGTGTGAATGATGGGCAGTGTGCTGGAGTGGAAAGAACTGTAGTGACATGATAGTGTGGACCAAGAGCCTCACCAGTGGATGGTAGAGAATTTGATCCCCATCTGACAGAGCAGAAAACTAGGGTTCCAGAGTGGAGAAATTGATTGAGGAAGTGATGACGCCTGACTTTTCCAGTTCAACCATGCCTGACCTTTGAAGCCTGTGCACTCTCTTTGCTGTTATGCTTTGATCTAGTTTGAGGCCTCCTGCTTAGGTGAGGGGCTGAGCCCAGGCTCTCACAGGGAAGCAGTGGCTCTGGCAGAGGCAGAACCAGGTGGGGAGTGGACTTGAAGCTCATGTCCTTTGCTTTTTGCCACACCACCTGTGACTTTTCTGGGGCTAGGAGAAAACCAGTTATCAGGTTCCCAGGAGGCTTTGATAAATGATTTTCCTAGGTTTCCTCTATTAAGCTATGAGTTCTTCAAGGGCAGCAGCTAGGCCTGCTTCTTTCTGTGGTCACCTAAGTCTAGCTTGGCATCAGTAGATTCTTCCTAAAATGTATACACTTCCCTGCTCCTGGGAGGACTAGAAATGGGAATGAGAAAATACTTTATGGACCTCGTATATGCTTGGTCAGAAGCTGCTCGCTGCAAGATGTTTGTGTGATCTGCTGGTCCTGGTAAGGCTGTGAGTAATTCAGAAAGGTCCAGCTCTGGGCTGGTGGGCAGATGTGCCTGGGTAAGTGAGCAAGCAGGCAGGCACCCACTCACCAGTGAGCCCCGCTATAACCTGAGACTTAGTCTAAAGGGGGCAGGCAGCATGGCTTTCCTTAAACCAGTGAGAGCATGGATTCTGGCATCAGATTGCCTGGGTTCAAATCCCAGACCTGCCACTTACTGGCCTTGTGACTTTGGCCAACTCATTTAATCACACTGTGCCTCAGGACCCTCATCTGTAAAACAGAGAGAATTATAGCACCTACTTCACATGATACCAGTAAAAGTGCTCTGAACCAAGCCTGGTGCAAAGTATGCCATACATGTGTTAACTAGTGTTAGTATTTGGGGAGTTACATGTATAGTTCCCTGGATTCCCCTCCTAAACTAAGCTCTGCCCATCACCAGCTGTGTGTCCTTGCCTCAGTTTCCTGATCTGCTAAAGGGAATGACAATCACTTTGCATGGTTGGATTAGATGCAGCAAACATGGTGGTAGCTGCGAAAGATAACAGTGGCCAGCATTTACTGATCTCTGTGCTATAAGCATCAGGTCCATTCTCTCCTGTAGGCCTGCGGTGTGTTGTGTGTGGTGTGGGCGCTATTATCACCATTTAATATAGGGGGAAACGGAGAGCTCAGAGAGGTGAGCCAGCTTGCTCAAAGTCTCAGAGCTAGTGAGTGACAGGACCAGGGAAGAAATGCTAGGGACATTTTTTTTTCTTTCTTACTACTGATCTTCTTGAAGGCCTGGCAAGATTCAGGGCAAATTCTGGATTTCATTCTTAGTGTTCCCAGCATGTCATGCTTTCCTTTTACTTTTTTTTTTTTTTTGGTTGTACTTTTTTGCTTTATTGAGATATACCTACATAAAGTGTACTGATATTAAGTGTATGGCCCAATAGATTTGTACATATGTGTACCCTTGTGTAACCACCACCCAGATCAAGATATTGAGCAGTTCCTGTGCCCCAGAACTGCCTTCATTTCTATCACTTTTCACAAGTTGCCATCCCCGCCGGCTGTCGTGAGAGCCCTGTCTGTAAGATGCGACAGTTTGGGTAACAGAGTTTGGTCATTTAAAGAATGTGAAAGGAAGGGAACAGAGAAATCAAAACCTTGCGGGGCAAAGGTGGGTGGAGAGGGTGTTTTTCTTTTAAAATACATGAGTGGTTTTAAGGAGAAATTGAAGCAGCCCATTTAGACAATTGTTTTGGTATCTGGCCCCAGGTCTGTGGTTCCTAACATGACTTGTGATATTATTTTAAGTGGGCAGATGGCTTTTTGATAGCTTCTTTATCTTTTGATCTCAGCTCTTGCAAAGGGGAGGTTGGTGCTCATTGCAAGATCAGCGATAAGGTTTTCTTTGTAGGTCGGTGGCTTTCTTGTCGAGTACATTTCAGCTTATTGTTTTAAAACCTGTGTGCTGCCAGTGACTTGGAGCGCTGTTGAAGAACATCCACCCCACTGTGACCCAGTCTTGGGAAACAGTGGAGGATCTTAGGGGATATCCTTTACCTGTGGGAGTCCCATTGTAGAGGATTTCCTATTTAGGAAATGTTGGCTGCAGGCCCACTGTATCAGGTTAGGGCATGGGAGAAGTTTGGTAGTCATCAGGATTTGGTTCAGAAACCCAAATGGCTGCTTTCCATGGGTTGCTGGACTAGGCTTTTGATAACTTAGGCATAAAGATAATCCATCAACAAGCATTTATTAAGGGCCTGCTATGTGCTGGGCACAGAGCTAAGTTCATGCAGGGAAAAAGATGCAGACTAGTCCAAAGATGTCACAGGGCTTGTGGTGGAATGTCGTGGAAGGGGCAGGTATAGAAGGCTTGTTGTGTGAGACCTGGTTGAGACCCTGCTCTTTGCTGGGCACTTTTCTGAGTACTGTATTTTCATGCAAAGTCTCATTTAATCCTGATAACATTCCCTATGATATAGAGTGTTTTATTTATTTATTTAGCAGCCTCATGACCGTCTTGGATATTTTAAATCCCTCTTTGCTGGATAAGCAAATCAAGGCTCCCAGAGTCCAAAGTCCCAGTGGTGTGGGGAGGAGCCCTCCTGCTCTACCTTGGCTTAACACCCTTAGGAAGTATCCTATTCCTTTTAAAAACAAAGACTAAGAAAGCCTCACCATGGCCTTCAATCATCCCCACCTTGTACCCCAATCTGGTCCCTGCCGGCTTCTGGTCGTACCTCACACCAGTGTCTCTTTCTGGGCTCCTGTCACCATGGTCTTTCTGTTACTCCAAAGGGCCTGGTTCCTTCCTGCCTCAGGGCCTTTGCCCACACTGTCCTTCACCAGGAATGTTTGTCCTGTACCCCTTGCAGTCTCCTTGTGTTGATCCTTCAGTTCTAAGAGGACTTCCCCAGGGGGGGCCTGTCCACGTCCACCTCAGGCCCCCAGCTTTTTCATAGCACTGATCAGCCCAGCAGGCAAGCCCTGTCACATAGCAAAGCAAATTCAGGGCCATCTTTTGTCCTGTCTACCAGTCCTACTATATTTTTCTGATCCACTCTTGTCTCTCTGGTGCGACTCTTTCACATGTTCTTTACCTTCAGACTTTGCCTCCTGCTTCAAAAAGCAAAGTAGAAGCCATAAGAATGGAACTCCCTACACCTGGCAGCCCCTAAGCCTGCAGACTGATTTCCCTCCCCTGTGTTACAGGTGAGGAGGAGTCCCCTCCTCCCCCAGGCCAGTTCTCCCTCCTATACTCTGGGTCCCATTTTCTGCCACTTGCTCCGGAACCCGACACCGCCAATCACTCTTTCTCTCCTCGCAGGCTTTCTGCTGCCCTCCTCACCCAGTCTTCCCTATTGACTTTTGCCCACTTCAGCATCCCTGCTGTCTCTGCTGACCCCACCTTCCTGTGCTGCTCCTGGCCAGCACCGAATCACTTTCCTCCCCTTCACTGCCAACCCTCTCTCAAGAGTTGTCTGCACTTGCTTTCTCCACGTGCTCACCCCTGTGTGTGCTTTAGCCCCCTGCACCTGCCAGATTCCACAGGTGGTTTTTCACTTTTTTTCTTGAAGTCGTTCACCACTCCTACTTAAGACACTTTGTCTTTCCTTGCCTTGGGACCACATTCTGCTGCTTTTCTCTTAACTCTCTGGCCCTTCTCTTTCTCCTTGCTCTTTCTCTCAGCCTCATGTATCCTAACTTGGTGTCCCACTTGATGGATGTCCCAAAGATTCCTCAAACTCATCTCGTTGGGGACTGCATTCATCACCTCCCCCACAGAGTTCCTGAGCAGCCTCTCACTTTTCTACCTCTTCACTTGCTCATTTTGCTTCTAAGTATCCTTATAAGACCTTCCTGACTCTGCCAGGACCCCTCGTCCTAGGGCATTCTTTCCTTCTTTAAAGGCACTGACCTCAGTTTGTAGTTAGACTTTCATTAGGGGATTATTGGATGACTCTGTCCTGCTAGACTGTAAGCTCCGTGAGGGGTAGGGACATGGTCTGCTTTTGTTCACCGCTGTATTCCTGCAGGTCTGCCACAGTGCCTGGCACTTAGCAGGTGCTAAATAAATGTTTGTTGAAAGAATGAGTTTGAGTATTTTTTAATGTCTTCCTGCACACTGAACTGTAAGCTTCCTAGTCGGGTTTGCTCATCATTGTGTCTCCAGGGCCTGTCACTGGGGCTGATGGATAGTAAGGCCTCTGTGTATTTAGGTACACCTCTAATTAAATGGATGGGGATCCAACTTGACATCTGAGTTGGCGGCCTTAGGAGAAACCACAACCACCGGAGTTGAAACAGGATGGGTCAAGGGTCATCTTAGTTGTCTGGCAAGTGCGGATTTAATGTGAACATGATCCCCTTTCATTCCACAGAAAACTGATAGGGTCATCATGGTTAAGGACGTGGGCCCGAGGCTGCACACTGAGAAAGTGGGATCGGAGCCTGTATGGTCCTGCTCTAGTGCCCCAGCTCTTAGCTGCTGTGCCAGGCTGAGTGATGCATTTTACCTGGAGGGAAATGCTGGGCAAGTTGCTTTCCTTTTCAGAGCCTCAGTTTCCCTCAGTGGGAATTTGAGGGAAATAACTAGTTTGTTAAGCACTTTACAGGTGCTTTTCAACCATTTCTTCAATCTGCTCAACAACTCACTGAAGTAGGTATTACCTCAATACAGATGAGGAAACTGAGGCACAGAGAGGTTAAGTAATTTGCTCTGGGTCACACAACTGCTAAGTGGCAGAGCTGGGATTATTTAGAATTACATGTCCTGGCCCTTTATTGAAATGTGAAATCAATTTACTGGGTTCTAACAAACAAAAAATAGCATGGGAAATGCCAGAGTTCATCACAACATGCAGTAAAGGTAAGTATTATTTCATGCTAGGAACAATCATTTTTCACTTATATATATGTATATATATTTACACATGTATGGGTGTGCTGCATTATGATGTAGAATGGATTTCTTATTGTGGGTCATGGCCAAAGAACTAAGTCACTGCTGTAGAAGATCATGGCATGATAGACTGCTCTCCTTCTGCCACCCTGCTGGATTGCCCACAGGTCCCAGAGCTGAGGGTGACACTTGTTGGGGAAGGCAAAGCAGTGCCCCACATAGCTTGGTGGCTTTTGCAGCCACCTTCAAACCCCATTCTTTTCAGAAAGCAGATGGCTCAGGGTAACTGGGATTCCAGGTATTGTGGGGTAGGTTTCGAAGCCACATGTCTCCCTCTGGAGAGTCAGCGTTATCTTCAGGTTGACTACATGGGAGCTGGGGTCCGTTGAGTTTCCCTTTGGGTTTCAGTGCCTGACCCACTTTGAGCTAGCAAAGTTCTTTGAAACCATGAGTGCTGGGGGTGCTCACAGAGGACTCTGGTGCTGGTGGTGATGGCAGTGATGTGACTACTCTGAAAGTCTGCTTGACCTTGCTACACGGGGCTTGTCATCCTTCACTTGCTCGCTCACTGTGTGACTCTGGTAATTCACCTTTCTGTTGTCTGCTGGTGCCACCTCTTTCCAAATTCTCACTCCCTGGTCTCCTCGGGCACTATCTGAGGTTAGCAGCTGTTGAGTTTCCTGATGGCAGGAGGAATTTTCACATTCAGGAGACTGGTGGGCAGCCCTGAGATGGCCCCTTCTAGGTGACAACGGCTTGACTGTTGCTCACAAGCACCCAAATCACGTGTGCTCAAGATGTCCCCAGGTCTGTGTGCCCTGGCCCACTACTGCCCACTGTCCTTGAGGGGACTCCATGTGCTATTTGAGGGGAATGTGCCAAAAGAGCAGGTTTCCTTCTTGAAAATTAACAGGCATACTGTAGGTACAGTTTTGTTCTTAACTTCCCTCCCCATTTTTCTAAGAACCCTTCTCTGTTAACTGATGAGTGAGTCAGTCAATATACATTTGTGCTCGATTTCTCTTACTATCTTCATTTTGATTAAAGCCATAGCTGCCTCTGAATTTTTACTGTGAAAGACAGTTCAAGGATATTTGTGTTTTTTCTTTCAGCCCACAATTTCAAACTGTCTTCAAAGCGCAGCCCCCTTTCTGGATGTTATCAGCATGCTGTGTAGTCAGCGGGTGTAGTCCTTGGGCCTTAGTTTCTGCACTTGTAAAAAGGGAAGGGAGTTGTTTTGAAGGGTATATGTGAAGGTTTTCAAATGCCTTGGTGTATCAATGAAAGGGCCCCATTGTGAAAGAGGTGACAATAAATGCTTGTGCTCCTGCTGTCGTTTCTCTGACTTTGGAGGTAGAGAGAATGACTTGTTTGCTTCTGCTGACTTCGTAGATCTTAGGATTGGCTCAATTGCTTCCTTAGTTTTTGGATGTTTCCCCTCCTCTTGCCCTTGTCGGCTATGGAAGGGATGCTCTTGGGGCTGAAGGATTGATTTTGTGTTTGTTTTTCTTCTCTCCTTCCTCCAACTGAATTGTAGAGTCCTTTTCCTTCTGTTGATGGCTCCCTGGGTGCTCCCCTTTTCCCTCTCACATCTGTGATCCTATAGTGGGTTTTTAGAAGCCTGGTTGCCATGCGCATCAGGACTTGGCCAGATGGCAGGGGAAAGCTTACCTGCTCCTGCCCATGGTGGGGAGGGCTGGCTTTCTGTCTTGTGTGCCTCCTTGAAGATGCATGGTTTAGAAGATCCTAGGAAGATGATGTTTTCTGTAATGAAGGATTATGCCAGCAATTTGTGTTGAGCCACAAGTCCAAAGACCTAGATTTTAGACCCACTGAATGGAATGGTGCAGGACCAAGCCAGTTTGCTCTGAATCCCCCTTTCTCATCTGTGATGTGTGGGAGTTGATGGCTGGGCTCCTAGAGTCCCCTACTGTAGGCCGCACAGTATTCAGATAGATTCAAGTACCTCTGGAGGGATGGATGCATGAACCCTAAACCATGGAGAAAGACCATCCATTTCAGAGCTTCCAGACTCTAGATCCATATATTAATACATGGCTCAAGCTTCTTCTGAGGGTGAAAATAAACAGTTTTTACAGCCACTCGGTGTCTGGTGGTCTCCTAGCCACATGTCCCATGTAGGCAGGGAAATTGGGAATGAATATGTGGGCAAAAGACAGGTCCAAAGAAAAGCCTGCATGAAAGAGGAGAGAGGGATCTTCTCTATTATCGATGCCCCCTCTCTCTACTTCTAGAAAGGAGGGAGATGGGGTTGGGTTAGACTCTAGTTTCCCTTGTCCAAGAAGTAACAGCTTGTTCGGTAAGAGCCAGAAGGCCAGGGTTTCAATCCAGGCTGCATGACCTTGAATCACTTATCCAGCCTCTCTTTCATCATCTTTAAGGTGGGGACAATACTACTGCCTACTTCAGAGGATTATAAGTATCTGTTTCATAGAGTGGTGGTGAGGATTGAATTAACATACATGAGGCAGCTTAGAACAGTGCCTAACGCCATAGTAGGTACTATGTATGACTCAGCTAGTGATATTCTGCTTCTGTGAAGCTAATTGGTTAGGTGTTTTCAAAAAATTTCAACCATTTCCAGAAATGTAAACTTCACATTGTCCCTTAGGAATAAAAAGGTCTGAGCTATCACCTCAGCTCTTCAGGTCTCTGAACATGTTGTAGTAAATGCTTCCCTCATTTGCCTTGATCTGTAGGCATCTGATACTCATCGGTGAGAGTAAGAACAGTGATTTCTCCATGATGAGACCCCACCCTGGCAGTATCTGGCTGAAATACACTTGGCTTATGCCACTCAGGGATCTGACTGGCCTGGTGAAGGAGGAACAAGACCAGTGAATATATACCATTGATTTGGCCCCTGCCACAAGCCAGGCCCTGATATCTGCCTCTCCACCCTCATTCCTCTTGCACATCTTGCTTGATGTGCACATCTTGGCTCCCCTGGGCTCTGCTTTATGAGTAAAAAGGTGAAGGGACCTGCCGGGCTGCTATGGGGATGCGGGAGGGCTGGTGTAGGGGCCCAGGCCTCCATGATCCCCTTCTCATCCTCCATTTGCTTTCCTTCCTGCCTTCTGCCATTTCCTGCATCCCACAGTCTTCTGTGCCTGCCCTTTCAGGCAAAATATGGATTCTTCCACAGCCAGGGACATGCCCTAAGTAAATGACTCAATGTGTCCATAAAACTATGCCCAGCACTGTTTCCTGAAGTTTGCTTTGTGACAGAAAATTAAGGAAACAATCTAACTGCATGGTAGGAAGGGAATGGCTATGTCAATTATGGTGAAGTCCACACAATATGAACATTAAGTAGCCATTTAAAATGTTTGCAAAAGTATATAATGATGTTCTTACTGGTAAGTGGGCAAAGCTAGCTGTGAAATTATGTCTGCAGAATGTAAATGATTTGATAGACTATCAGGAATGAAATTTTCCAAAATATTAGCAGTGGTTGCCTCTGGCTGGTGTGTGATTTTTTTTCCCCCTTGGCTTCTTTATACTTTCCTGTATTCTGTAAATTTTCTACAATGAGGGTGTAGGACTTTTATGATCAAGGGATTAAAAAGAGGCAGCAGAAGACAAAGCAGCAGCTGTCAGGTGAAGACAGGCCACCACGGAGGCTCAGAAGGTGCCTGTGGGTGGCAGAAGTGACCTCTCAGGGTGTCGGATCCATGTACTCTCTCCTCTGCCCCATAGGCCTGCTGAGGAGGAGCTGAGGATGAAGAACGTGGATGATAACACTGCTGCTGTGGGTAAGCAATTGGCCAACTTTGGGAGCTTTAGCTCATGTTTACCATGTCTGTTTTCCTCTGTTTCTCTTTCTATAAAAACGAAGAGGCACCTTTTGCCTTAGACTGGTGCAGAAAGTTTCAGAGGTAAAACTGTCAGTTAGCTAGAATAGCAAATTTTCTGCTTGTACACCTGTCTTGCCCCAGTGCTACCTTTCTCTTCTTTCCAGCAGAGCATCCTGATGTCCAAGAGTCAGTGGGTCCCCTGGTGGCCCCCACCCCTCTCCGTCCATGGCCTCAGATGACACTTCAGGTAAGCTGGCCCTTGCAGCCACAGGGTGGACAGCCCACTGAGAGGTTCACAGTAGGACCACAGCTGTGCTGGGTGGTGGGGCCAACTAGCTCTGGGTTCACCCTAGGTCGAAGAGAGGTCATGAAACTCAGAACTCAGAACCTGATAGGGGGGTGGAGAATGCAGTTATTCATCTAGGCTTATAGAAATTTCATTTGTTAATTTAGCAAATATTTATGAAGTGCTTGCTCTATGCCAAGCACTGTTATAGATGTGGAAATACAGTAGTGAACAAAAATGCTCTTTGTGGGGCTTACATATTAGTAGGGTGATATGTGATAAAATAAGTTAAATATGTGGTATTTTATTTTATTTGTTTTTTTAAAAGTTGCGAGATCAGCAGAGCCAGGAGCCCAGAGTGCCATCCCCAGGCCACCCTGGGGATGATGATGAGTGCTAAGAAAAAATATAAAGGGATAGGGAATGGGTGAGAGTGTGTTGTGTACGTGTGTGTGCGTGCGCATTGGTGGGGGGGGCATAGGCAACTGTAGATTGAGTGGCCTGGGCAGGCCTTAGTAGTGCTTAGTGAGATTTGAGCAAAGATATGAAGAAGATGAGAGAGTGAGCCATGTGGACAACTAGGGGAAGAACATCCCAGGCGAGTGTGAGGTTCCTGAGGTAGGGCTGTGACTAATGGGTGTGAGGGACAGCAAGGAGCAGAGGAGGGGGAGCCACAGGAGGGTGTGAGCAGAGGGACGCGATCTGACTCAGGATTTAACAGGCTCCCTCTGGCGGAAGCAGGTGACTTGTGAGGATGAGGCCACTGCAGTGGTCCAGGGGTGCTGTGACCGTGGGGGCAGGGAAGGTAGAGGCATTTCTAGAGGGGTATGTGTGTGTATTTTAACTTTTTATTACAAAAATTTTCAAACTTATTTAAAAGAGACTAGTATGACAAACCCTCGTACACCATCACCCAGCTTCAACAAATGACAACACATGTCCAACCCTACTTTGTCTGGATCCTCGCCTCATCCCCTCCCATTCCCTATGGGGTTATTTTGGAAAAAATCCAGATATCATCATCCCATCCATAAATACTTCAATTTGCATCACAGAAAATTAAGAACTCTTAAAAAAACCACAGTGCCATCATCACACCTCAGAAAATTAACAATAATTCCATAGTATCCAAGTATTTGGTGAGTGTTCAAATTTCCTTCTCTCATAAGTGTTTTAGGATCTATACAAGGTTGACACATTGCATTTGATTGATGAGTCTGTTTAGTTTTTTTTAATATCTCCCACTTTTTTCTTGTTATTTGTTGCTTGAAGAAACCTAGTTTGTCCTGTAGAGTTTTCCACAGTCTGGCTGATTGCATCAAGGTGGAAACATGTTTCTTACTCTGTTTTTACTCATTTGTTAATTCTATTAATTAATTTAGTCTTTTATAGTTAAATTTAATTAATGTAGTAAACCATTAATTCTATTAAATTATTACATTTAATCTTTTATTATTAAATTAATATATATATATAGAATGAACTCTACTTAATTCTATTGATCCTACTTCTTCCTTGATTCGCTGGGATTCTTCTCGAAAGAAAAACTGTCCCACAACAACTGTTTGACTACCTTGAGGTATAGTTTGTCCAGTAAAAGCAGTGTAAATACTTAATTTTGCCCCTTTTATTTACCAGTTTTCAGAAGAAAACCTCAAGGATATTCGGTCTTGGTGTGTCATTATGAACTCACAGAAGGTTCAAAACATATATAATGAATTTTAATCCATTGCACTTATTTATTTTTTTGATGCTTAAATTGAACTCTCCCTGGCCAATAGGAACTTATTTAGATTGGCTCTCCTGTCCTTTTGCCATGCCTCCATCATTGTGTGAGTCCCTCCTCACATCCTGTGAGGACAGTATATTCTAGGCACGCTCTGGACTTTCCTAGCCCCAAGCCTGGAAACAGCCATTTCTTTAAGGAGCCGTGGTTTCCTTTAGTGGAGAATGACTGGTACTGAGAGACCAAGATCTGGGGGCTCCACATGCTTCTTGCTACTAGATTACTTGTTGTTTCTAGGCCTTTCCAAAAGACAGAGCTAGGAAATAAATTTTTTAAAAAGACAAGATACATGATGGAGTCACGTGAATATTCTGGCTATGTTTGGAGGTAAACCAACAGTGTTTACTGACATTCACCAAATATTGATGCCTACTGAATTCCTCAGCTTTGTTATCTGCAAGAAACCCCTTTTATGCCATTAAAGGGTGTTATTTTCCTAGAGATGTCAGAGTCTTTGGAGTTTAGAGAATTGCAAAGGGCTCTTGAAGGTGTTTTTATATGGAAACACCTGTGGGGCTGGGTGTGGGCTGTCACCAGTTCTTACTGTCTCTGCTTGTCCTATCCCCTCCTCTACTTCATTCCCTGCCCTTTCTCCTCCCCTCCCCCATGGCTCCAGGTTTCTGAAGTTACAATGACTGGCAACCCCCCAGAAGAAGGTGACATCCCCAGAAGCAGTCCGCCAGTGGCTTTGACAGAGGTCCTCCAGGAACCGGCCATCAGGATCCCCCCCACTTCCCCTCTCTGTGGCCTGGGTGGCTCCCCCAGAGACCAGGCCTCAGGGCCCGATGCAAGTGAGGGGGCCACTGGGCCTTTCCTGGAACCCAGCCAGCAGCAGGTGGAGGCCGCATGGGAAGTATCCAGTGAGAATGGAGGGGGTCAAAACGACCCCATGGTGGGGGCTATTATGGATGAACCCCCTGGTGGTCTGGAGGTCATGAGTGGGTTGGAGGAGCTGTTTGGCGAAGACACCATTGACCAGGAGCTGGAGCAGCTCTACCTGTCCCACCTGAGCCGCCTGCGGGATGCTGTGGCTTCAGGTGGGGGAGGGGGTGGTGGGGAGGGTCCCACAGATGGCGGGACGTCCCCCAGCCATCCCCTGGGCATACTCACGGACCGTGACCTGATCTTGAAGTGGCCTGGCCCTGAGCGGGCCCTGAACAGTGCTCTGGCTGAGGAGATCACGCTGCACTACGCCCGGCTAGGGCGTGGTGTGGAGCTCATCAAGGACACCGAGGACCCTGATGAGGAGGGGGAGGGCGAAGAGGGGCTCTCAATCACAGCCTCCAGCCCAGAAGGGGACAGTCCCAAGGAATCACCCCCGGAAATCTTCTCTGGGGCCCGTTCTGTGGTAGCCACTATGGGAGACGTGTGGCTCCCATGGGCAGAGGGCTCAGGAAGTGACAGCCCTGTGGTTCTGAGCACAGAGGGTCAGTTCACTGGGGACCCAGAGAAAGGGATGGGCAAGGATGCTGACTCTTTGTACATGAATAGGGTGATAGCTGGGGTTACTGGGTCTCTGGGGGAGGCTGGGACAGATGCTCAGATGGAGGTCACCACTGAGCGGGCAGGCAGCTTGGATCCTATATCTGGCAAGGAGCCAGCCACTTCAGTCCTTCTGCCAGGACAAAATCCCACCCTCCTTGGTCCCTTGGGGGCCCAAGTCTGTCTGTCTAGCATGGCTCGGCCTCATGTGAGCTCCCAGGATGGAGAGGGTGAAGGCCCAAGTCTTGAACCCCCCAAAAGGTCTCCCACCCTAGCAGGCCCTGGAGAATGTGTGTGTGTATTGTCTCCCCAGCTCCGTGGCCCCTTGACCCAGACTCTGGGTGTCCTGGCTGGGCTGGTGGTGGTCCCTGTGGCTCTGAACAGTGGTGTGTCCCTCCTGGTACTTGTGCTGTGCCTCTCTCTAGCCTGGTTCTCGTAGGGGCTGCTTGTGGGATCAGCAATAACAGGCTTCCCCCTCTCTGGGGTCTGGGGAGGGGTAGCCCCTGCATCACCCCAGAGGGTTGAGATGGGATATGTGGCCTGTGTAGTGAGGGGACTTTGGTCCTTTGCTTCTGAGAATGCTCAATTAGAGAGGCCTTCCCATCCCTGAGCTCTCCAGTCAGCACAGGCTCCCTGTGGTGATACCAATGGAGAGGAATGGGGATGGGTGGATGGTATGCGTGAGAAGAACTTTTAGAATGGAACTGGGCATGTCCTCCCCCTCCCTTGCCCCCAAGCCTGTATTTATTTTTGTATAATTCTCTGGATGAGGTAGAGCGGTCGTGAGCTGGTCTTGGGGCACAATTACCCAGAGATATATTTATTAACAGCCAACCTGTGCAACCTGCTGGAGCTTTATTTTTAATTTAATTTATATAGAGTACCTATTATTAGATGCCACAATAGAGCTCTATGAGAAATGATGTGTCTTGCTGTGCAATGTTTTCCTGTTTGGGAGTGAGTGTTCAGGGTGGTCACATTCGGTAGGAGGACCATGGTGGGGAGTAGGTGGTAGGACGTGGCCATGCTTATGCTGCTTCATTGTGTCCTTGAGGATCTGTGTCTCCTCACTTTGTGGTCTCAATCCATGTGGTCCTTCAGTATTCTCTATATTCTACTTGTGGGAGCCTGCAGAGGTATATATGGATGGTGGTGGTGGGAGCCAGGGAGGAAGAGTGGTGGTCACATGAGGGTTTGGTGTCCATCACATGGCTGCAGTGGTGGCTGTGGTCACTTGTGGATGTGGGGACATCAGTTATGAATCAGCCATAAAGTTTTGAGGTTACTAAAAAAAAAACAAACAGCCTTTCACACCACCAGCGGGAGATCCCTCAGTCCCCAAAATAGGGAAGGCCTCATAAAGAACAGAGGCATTAGTGTACTGTGAAAAGTCATACTAGAGTTGCTGTCCACAGATATCACATTTCTATTCAAAACAGGAAACCAAGAAGCTTTGAAGGAAAGCATAGATATATTTACTGCATGCAAATAAACAACATTGCATAGTAAAATAAAACACTATATATTTATTTACTTCCCTTTACAGCAAAACTTATTGAAAGAAATATTTATACCAGTTTTCTTCAGTTCTTCTCTCCCCCAGTGTCTTTCTGAAATAGCCCCAATCAGAATTATTTTTTTTTTTGCCTAACCACCTCAGCAAAACTGCTGAAGTCACTGAAGGCATTCACATTGTTATAGTAAGGGTTAAGTCTCAGACCTCTTCTTACTTGGCCTATTGGCAGCATTTAACACAGTTGATCACCTGTACCTTGAAACCCTTTCTTCACTTGGCTTCCAAGATACAACAGTCTCCTAGTTTTCCTCCTTCACTGGTCACTCTTTTAGAACAGTGCCTGGCACATAATACATGCTCAGTAAATATCCATTAAATGAAATAAATGAAGGAACAAACAACTGGAAGTGAGGAAATCTAGAGTGACACGGCTAGAGAGCTTAGTTGGTCATTCAGTGGTTGCAAGCTCAGTTCAGCTCCACAAGTTTTGACTGACCCCCTCTGCTCTGCTCTGAGAACACAGAAGGAGTAGCTCACAGTCTAGTGAGATGCAGAGAAAATTTCAGTACAGCATGGTCAGCGCATTAGCAGTGATAGGTCCCAGTTCAGGGATTCTGGAAATCTTCTTGGAAGACTTGGTGCTTGAACTGAGTTTTCAAAAATGAGAAGGAATCTACCAGGTAGTGAAGGGAAGGAGAAGGCAGTCCAGGCAGAAGGAATAGCACTGCAGAGGTCTGCAAGTGGAAAACAGCTAGTGAAAACAAGCTCAAATACCCATATCTCACAGGTCTTTCAAGGAGAATATTATGAACTGCCAAGTATCAATGTCTAGATATGTGTCTATGGCCTTCCACTAATGTGATAATTTGATCATTGTCTAAAAAGGCAACTTTATACCAACTGAGCTGAAAACTTAGGTAAAAATAGACAAATTACTACACACTTATAAGTTGCCAAAATTGTCTCAAAAAGGAGTGGAAAACTTGAGTAGTCCCATAACCATTAAAGTAACAGAACCTGTAGCCAAAAGTCTTCCCATACAGAAACGCTTGGCCCAGATGGCTTTGCTGGTGAGACACTCAAGGAACAAATATTTCAATTTTGCAAAAGCAATTCCAGAGTGTATAAAAAGAGGGCGCATGCCCAATTCATTTTATGGGGCTGATACAACCTTGATACTAAAATCTGATGCATGGAAAAGGATATTACAGAACAATCTCAAGAATGTAGATGTAAATATTCTAAACCAAATGATAGCTGCCTAAGTCCAAAATATTTTAAAAAGTACAATATGACCAAGTTGGATGCATTCCAAAAATGCAATGTGTTTTACTATTTGAACTCAGCACAATTGGCCTCATTAGCAGATTAAAGGAGAAAAATCACAATCATCTTAATAGATACAGAGAAAGGGCTGAAATTCAACATCTATTCCTGATTTTAAAAAATCTTAGCAAATTATTTAAATGAATTATTTTTAGCATAAGGAGTATCTGCAAAGATTTATAGTGAACTACATACTTAAAAGTGCAATGTTAAGAGCTTTGACATTGGGAACAGGGCAAGGATGTCTGCTGTCATCATTTCTATGCAGCACTGTACTGGAGGTCCTAGCCAGAGCAGTAAGGCAAGGGAGGGAAAGAAAATATTTAAGGACTGAAAATGAAGAACAGAGTTGCCATTATTTGTAGGTGATACTATTGTGTAATAGGAAATCCAAAATAATCTATGGGTGAGTTATTAGAGTTATTAAGAATGTAGAAAGATTTCTGAATGCCAAATCCATATTTGAAAATCTATTGCTTTTTATATGTCAACAACAAACAGAAAATTTTAAGGTATTTATGAGCAACTTAGAAATTAACCAAAAAAGAAAAAAAAAAAGAAATTAACAAGAGGGGGCAAGATCTTTTTCAGGAAAAATATTAAGCCTGATTGAAAGACATTTTAAAACACTAAATAATACACATGTTCATTGAATGGAAGAGTCAAGGTCATAAAACTGTCAGTTCTCTAGAAACTGTTTTGTAGGTTCCACCCAAATCCAACCACGATTTCAATAGATTTTTTTTTTTTTTTGGCGTGTGTAGATCATAACAAAATAATTCTTAAAGTTATGTGGAAGTGCCAAGACTAGCAGGACACCTATACTTATTATGAAGGTATAGCAATTAAGATGATTGATATTGTTGCAAGAGTAGATGAATAGACCAATAAAAGACTAGTAGTCTCCAAAATAGACCCAACTTATATGTAGACACAGAACAGGTGACTAAAGAGATACTATAGACTACTGGGGGAATGGTTGGACTTTCATTAAATAGAACAATTGGTTATCCATATTGAAAAAAAATGATATTGGATCCATACCTCACAACACAAAAATAATTCTAGGTGGATCCAAACCCAAGTTTTATTAAAAGGATTTGCTCTATAAAATTTGAATTCAGTCAAAAGGCCACACTAAGGATCCAGAAGGCCAAGTGTGGCCCCAAGGCTGCAGGTTCTCCACCTAAAGAATATAATATGGCAGAATACCATTTTGTACTTATGGTAGAAAAGGTTTTCTTCAGCAAGACACAAAAACACCAACTACAAATGAAAATTATACAACATTCAATAATATTAAAATTAAGAATGTCCATTGATCAAAAGATACTGTAAAAAGAGTGAAAGAAAACATAGTGACAAACTGGGAGAAGATAATGGAAACACATAAATGATGAAGGGCTCACACCTAGAATATATTAAAAACCACAATTAAAGAGACAAACTAGGCATGTCAATGAGCATATAAATAAATTGTGGTGTATACACAGAATGGAATTTTGTACAAGGAGAATGAAAGTTCAACAGCTGCATGAAGTGATAGATATGGTGATTAACACAGACATTATGCTGAGCAAAGAGAGCCAAGCAAAAGATTCCACACTGACTTGTTTACACAATGTTCACAAGTGAGTAAAACTAACGTATGGCCACGTGAGTGGTGACATTGTACAGGAAAGCAAAGGGCTGATTGTATCACAGAGCCAGGATCGTGTTTGCTTCTGGGGGAGGGAGGGATGTGAGGTTGGGAAGGGGCCAAGGGACTTCTGGGATGTCAAAAATGGTCCACTGCTCGAGCTGGGTGGTTGTTCATGGATGTGCAATTTATTAATATTCATTAAAACATACATTTATAATTTATACACTCTCAGGCAAAAAACCCCCCAAAAACAGTGAAACAAAGTGCAGTGAGAAATGGGAACAGCGTGACTGTCCGGACTCCACCACACAGGCTCCCGGTGCCCCCCGCCCCGGGCCTAGACCCCGAAGTGTAGGTGGCCTACTTCCCTCAGAACCTCCCTGGGCTCGGGCTCTTGCTGTCTAGCCTGGGGGCTACAGAGGCCCCCTCAGCCCTGGTCATGGAGATCATCTTGTGGGGACTGTTTATCCTGTGTCTCCTGACAGCAGCAATGGAGTGGGGACACCCATGCCTGGGGATGGACAGGACCTCCCCATTTCGTCCTCAGATGTTGGGGTCCGGCTCCCCTTGGGCCTCACTCACACCCACAATAGTCCAGGACACATGCGCTGTGGAGTCTGGCAGACCTCAGTTAAAAGCCTGGGACCCCAAGCCCTGGTTGTGTGACCTTGGGCAAGACACCTGTCCTCTCTAAGCCCCAGTTCCACATTCATAAAAGGCGACCATTGCCCACCAGGCAGGGTAGGTGTGGGCCCTGAGGAGAACATACAACACGTCCCTTGCCTGTACACACATTTGATGGATCTAGTGGTTGAAGCAGTGCAGCTGGGCAGGCTGGAGCAGGGGCTGGAGTGACCAGGACTAGACTGCCCCCGTCCATGCATGGGCAAACTCTCTGTGCCTCCCTTTGCTCCTGTGTCATAAGGGTAATGGCTTCCCCTCCTCACAAGGTTATATGAGGGCAAAAGGAGATGACTCATCAGTTACTGAGAGTAGCACCTGGCACAGAGCAAGACTGAGTGTGTGCCCGCTGTTAGCACTGTCAATGGAACTCTTACAGTCATTGTTACCCGAGACTCCTGTCCCGCCCCCTTGTCATAACAGGGGGGTGGGTAATGTGTAGGGTAGGGCCTCCACAGGCCCCTTCCTGGTCTGCCTCCTAAAGAGGCAGTGGGGCCCGATACACTGTCCCCAGGTCACCTGCACCCTCCTCAGTCTCCCCTGTCACTGAGGTTGGCAAGGGGACAGGGCCACTACCTCAGCATCTCGGGGGCACCATCTTGTAGGCCATAGGACTGGGCATTTCTGGCCCTAATAGAGGCCTCAGAGGGAAAGAAGGAGTTCAAGGATGTGTGTTCCTGCCTGAATTAGTTTCCTGTTGATGATTTAACAAATTTACAACAAATTTGGTGGCTTAAGCCAATGCAAAATGATCTTATAGTTCTGGAGGTCTGAAGTCTCAGGTTGGCAGGGCTGCATCTCTTTGCCTTTTCCAGCTTCTAGAGGCTGCCCACAGTCCTTGGCTCATGCCCCTTTCCTCCACCTGCAAAGCCAGCAATGCCCAGTCGAGCTAGGTGCTCATCCTGCCGGGGACAGCAACATGCCAACAGTTAATTAACAAAGAGTGATTCTTATAATAATAACAATACTGTCAACATTTCCCTCATACTTACTCTGTGCCAGACACCAGACACTTTACGTGAAGCATTCTTTTCTCACAATGATCCCATGAATGTACATTCTACTTTTATCACCAGTTTACAGGTAAGGAAACTAAGGCTCCAGGGGCCTTTAGTGTTCCCATCAGTCCTGAGCACAGTCCTTTGCAGAAACCTTCCAGATCTTCCTCTCCCTCCTCCTCCTCATTACTAGGCCCAGCATCTTAATCTCACGGTGGCCTCTGTTCTCTGTCCTCAGCTCTAAGCCCACTGTCACCTGCCCACGTCCTACACCCCCTCCACTTCCCCTTCTGGGAGCCTGTGGTCCAGGTTGAGACCAGGTCCAAACCTGAGCTTCCTGCAAAGTCACAGAG